AAATGACGGTGACAGAGGAGCTTAAGTATTTGTGTATACTATCTATATAAAGACACTTAAACCTATAAACACAGATATTTAAATAGATATATAAAATCATGCATATAAAAAACATTTATATAAGGAGTTTCTATCTCCATCTCCAAAACACAGAAAATTACCTAGAATTAAAGAATAAACATCTCAAACTTTTTTTTATAGCTGCATAATATGCAGACCACATTCAATACTTTGGGGCCTTTTGTGGCTACTTAAAATCATTTGCCAGTTAAGGCAATACAGGAAAGAATTAAAAATCCATTTCCTTGTGATCACAAGTAAAATGAGCCCCAAGGGCTGATTCAGGCTTCTACAATGAAAAAGACAACACAAAACGCTGAGTTGGCACAAAAGCGCGTATTCCTGACTTGTTCCTTCTGTAACAAGAGTCAGCCAAAAGGCAGCTGGTGTGATTTTACATAAACCAACCCCAAAATAAATGTGCAGCACACCCCTACTGTGAGAAATATTGAAAGAAGAAAAAAGAAGCTAGTGTCTAAAATCAGGAACAGCACTTGAGAACAGCCCTTAATCTAAAAGAACACAAGTAGAAAACCTGAGCATGTATTTCTTACACACTGTAATGACCTGCAAAAGGCTGTGTATGAGAACATATCAGTTGTCTGCCTAACCCTGCAGTCCTGTAAAGCAAGCACACAGTGAGAAGTCCCATGGAACAGGATACAGACATGTCGTTGCGGGGGGAGAAAGGCAGAGTGGCCAAACCGCACAGCCCAGAGCTCATCGCACCGCACTCACAGGGCACTATCCCCAACAGGGCCCTCATTAAAACAGTGTCCGACAGAGGACGCTTGTTGGTTTTAAACCTCCTACAATTGTTGCTTCCCTTACGAGTAAAAACTCAAGAAATTAAAACTAGATGTTGGGAAGACAAGATAACATTACGAACGGGAGGAGGGTGGGTGGGTGTGTGCAAAAAAAAAAAGTCACTATGGCAGTGATGTAGCCTTGAAAGAGGTGTCCAAAGAACTTGTTGAATCTCCATCCTTGGAGACTTGGAGGTTGGACTAGACACCCCAAAGGTTCCTTCCAACCTCTGTCCTTCTCTGACCCTACAGCATATTTCACTTCTAGCCTTGTACAAACTGTATGATCATTTAGTAACTTCCTCACATTCTTACTCATAATATTTTTCCAAAACAATGTTTTTATAGATTGTTTATATACCATGTTTATTTATATGTATGCTTAAATATATACATATTTATGTGTATATGAATAAATATATGTTCATACATACATACAATCACACACACAATTCTAGCCAGCAATAAAACTAGAGTTCCTGTGTGATGAAACACATTATCAGTTGCTGATCTCAAGCACAGACAGTTAAAGGAAACAGAAACTGTCTAAAGGGAACGATAGAAGTAGTTGAGTTCTTCAGGTCTGTGGTTCTATAGAAATAGAATCAGTTGTCACAAAAAGCATGTTACAGTGGTGAGAAAAAGAAGGAATATGGTGAGGAAAAAAAAGGAATAAAGACCATCTGAATATTTGCATTGTTGGGAATTTATTAATAGGAGAAACATCTTAATTTGAAACTTCCTGGATTCACAGTCAAGTATCATCAGTCAGTATGTTATTTGAGACAGTAATCTCAGCCAAACTGTTCTTCTCTTTCTGCATAGTATTACCAAACATAGGTATTAGCAAGTAACTTGTCACATTTCTGTTCCAATAGCAGGTCCAGGATTCACAAAATGTAGCAGTAGAAAATGTTTTTTTCTCATCATTTTCTGATTAAAAAACACTTTGTGCCATAATTTTGCATATCATGTTTAATGGCTTACTGGTTCAGATACCATCAATCTTTTTTAGCAAAATTCTAGTTTTCATTGGATTCTAATGTTTGTACCCAGAGAGCAGGGTCACTGATGAGTGTGGGACGACATTAAAGTTAAAAAGAGTAGGAAGCATCCAGGTGGTGGTCATGTTGCCTCTATTCCTCCTTCTTTCATCCTCCCATTTTACTGGCATTTAAAATTTCCAGAGTCTCCAAGTACAGCATCTGTCAATATCTCCTAAATACTTGATTTAAATTTCCTAGTAGATGGACTTCCTTATTCTTTACAGCAAATGGATTTTTGGAACAAGGAGGTGGCAGAATTTGTTTTATCCACTTTTTATCAACCATGTATTGCAGCAGCCCAGGAAGAGGTACCCTTTGAGTAACACATCTGTCTTTCAGGCTGAAGACCTGTCAATTAGTCATGTCTTTATAAAAGCCATGCTGTAAGTTGAACATCATTGGGTCCAACATGGATTTCTACGGGACTTTATCAGTGACCCTTCACTATTTAAAACAAAACAAAACAAAAAAATTCCAAAAACCAACAAACCAAATAAAAAAGTTCAAAACAAATGCTTTCAAACTTCTATTCAGTTATTTATAAGTGCAAGAAATTTCTACCTTATTTCACAGTTGTTTAGGAACTCATCAAAAGCATCTGGAAATAACTTCTTTAGCATATAATTACGACCTTCAAAAAACTCAAATAGATTTTTGAGACACGTCATCCTTGCCAAGTCGACTTTCTCAATAGATCATGCCTACACATCTTTCCCTTACCACAGTTTGTAAATAATAGAGCTGGAAGAGATCCAAGGCTTGCCAGTACACAGTTCTCCAGCTCTCCTCTGGGACTCCACTACAAAATTTGCCACCTCCTGGTCTTCAGGTACCAAAATTGTTTCACTGATCACACCTAAAATTCAGCCTTGCACTGTTTTAGTGGACAGCTGAAGCTTAATTTCAGTCTACCATTACAGCCTCACCTATCACTAAAACGTTCATTAAAATTAAATGTTCAATAAAATAAAATGTTCATTAAAATAAAATGTTCGTTACCAAAATTAAAATTAAAAAATTAAGTGTTTTCCCTAGAGTCGTATAGCCTCTAATCTTACAATGAAGTGTAATGAATATCTATCACTATGGGCTCAGTGATACCTTTCTCGTTTGGTTTTTTTTTGTTTGTTTGTTTGTTTTTGTGGGGTTTTTTACTTCAATCACTTAAATGGTCTTTCCTCTTAAGAGAGGGAGTTAACAACTTCATTGCAAAATTGCCTTTGGGGAAGTTTTTTTACATTTGCTGTGTGAGTTGGATAGATGCTCTGTAAAATTTCTGCCATAATTTAGATTTAACTGTGTACAAAGAAATTAAATACCTGCCAGCAGATACAACAACAGTGCAATACAACCCCAGCTTCAGAAGGCAATTATCTCAGAGGTTATGTCACTGGTGCCTTGTAATTCTTTTGGTTTGGATATATTTTGCCATTTCAACATCCATATATTCAAATCAAAAAGGGTCTGTCATTGTAGCAAAATCTATTCATCTATTTACTTTTTTTTTATTTCTAGAATCGTCATCCACACACGTCTGTAATGTCTACTGTTCAACAACTGTAATCTCTCACTTCCTCGAACATCCTGTCATAGAGAAATGGCACAAGTCCAAAATAACTAACTGAAATGATTTAATTCTTCCCATGGAAAAGTAACTAAAATGGTTCTTTTGGACCTACCATCTACAGACTGCTTATAAGGGGAAAATATACATAACTAAGAAAAACAAACCTAGTGTCATGCTTAAACTTATGATAAAAAGGTCTTGCATTTGCATTTCAGTTTTCTGAGAGCCATCGTAGGATTCATGTTTTAGATTCAACATTTTATAACTAGAGCTCGTGAAATATTGGCCAGGACACACTGATGTGAAATGAATGCATGGGAGAGACAGAGCCCTGCTTTCTTCACAGCTCTTTGCTACCATGTTGCACAAACCTGTTGGAATTAAATAAACCTGCTGAAGCCAAGCTCAGGAGAAGCAGAGGAGATGACTCTGAGGAGTCAGTAGCAGCCATGGCTCCATCCTCAACCCTTTGGCAGATGGCACATAGAATCACAGAATATTCTTAGTTGCAAGGGACCCACAGGGATCACTGGAGTTCAACTCTTAAGTGAATGGCCAAATACAGGGGACTGAACCCGTGACCTTGGCATTATCAGCACCAAGCTTTAACCAACTGAATTAATCTCACCCATAACTGGGTATCCTGTTCCTCGCTCCAGCTGGTCACTCACTCACAGGAAAGCCCATGTTGCAGTGAACATGCAGCTACACCAACTATTTGCATTGGGCCACAGAACAATCAGATCTGCTGTGCTGCACTGGCTTTACAGCTGCACTGAATAATAGCCTGTAAAACTAGAATCACCTCATCAAACAGTATCTAATCCTTAGCTTACAGTTGCTTATGTCATCTGGCACTGACTTCATAACTGCAAATGTAACTTGTAAATGAAAACTGACCCAACAACTAAGCATCCCGGAACAAGCAGTCTCACTTCAGAATAACTTTACGCACCTCTGTGATCACCATTTCTAGCTCACTCCAGGTGATAATAAAACAATCTACTTTATACTGTGTGGCACAAGACATTTGAATACAGTGAATGGCTGGGAAGTATAATATTTGTAAAGCTGGGAGTGACTAGGAAAGAACGCTGCTGCCTACGGTAACTTACCCAGGGGACAGCAGCAGGAGAAATACGGCAGCGTGCCGTTGCTTGAGGACTGAAACCACACTACCAGGGCTACCGGGGGAAAACAACAGACTGGTACACGCACCACCAACACCCTACTTGTGCTGCCTCGCGGAGGTGACGCAGCCAGCCACCGATGGACTTAACTCTGAGAGCGAACGCTGTGATCTGAGAGTATTTGGGAGAGGAAAGAAAGTTTCAAAAGCCTCCACATTCCTGAGCGAGATGCAGCCGAGAGAGACACGGTCACCCCGCGCCGGCCGCTGCCAGCAGACGCTCCGTGTTGGCAGAGGGGTTCCGTCAGCCACACCTGCGGTAGGCACGGCTCCTCTGCCCCGGCCCCAGGCGCCCTGAGGGCCTCAAGGGGCCGGAGCCCGCCGGTACTCACAGCGGGTGCCAGCGCTCGGGCAAGCGGCGGTGCAGCGAGATGCGGTCGCTCAGGTAGATGTTGATCTGGTGCCGGCGGATGCTCTCCTCCTGGCGGCGCTTCTCGGCCGGGCTCAGCTCCAGCCGCACCGCCCGGCCCAGTTCCCCCAGCGCCCCCGGGTCCAGGGCGGGTTTGGCGTACACCGGGCGCCGCAGCAGCTCGGTGTCGGGGGACGGCGGCAGCGGCGGGGCGCGGCGGGCGGCGTGGCGGGGCGGCGGGCCGTGCCACCACACGAGGAAGCCGAGGGCGGCCAGGAGCCCCAGGGCGAGCAGGGCGCCCTCGCCCCGGCAGCCCCGGCCCCGCTTGCCGTAGCACATCCCGCGGCCGAGGCGGCCGGCCATGCCGAGCGGGCGGAGGGTGCCTCTCACGGACGCGGACACGGGCGCGCCCCCGCCCAGGGCGGACTCGCCGAAGTTCTCACGGACCTGCCCAAGCCGCGACACCCGCCCGCCGCCAGCGCTGCCCCCGCCAGGAAACCCGCCCGGCTCCTTCGCCGGCGGCTCCTCCTTCCTCCCCGCCCCGCCGCCGGCCAGCCCGCAGGGGCGCGGCGCAGAAGAGCCGGGCACGGGCTCTGCGCCTGGGCAGGGAGCGGTCCCACCGGGCAGTGAACCCGACCCACGGGTCAGCCAGGGGCGCTGCGCCCCTTCCGCCACCCAGCTATCTTACCAGGAGCGATACCTCTCGGTTTTCTGGTGGTCAGAAGGCTGCTCGGCAGCCCTGGGGTTCCAGCACCCGAGGGAAGGCTCACGGCTCCAGCCCGGTCCGGGCTCACCCTGGGGACCCAACCCACGGAACTAGTAATGGTCCTAACCCAGCCCGGGGCAGGGAGGGAGCGCAGGCCATCCCGATTCTGCTGGTTCATGTACAGCCAGGATGTGGGGAGGAGGGAGAAAGGCATATCCCCTTCACACACTTGCTGTCACCCTTCAAGGAAAAGGTGATCCGGTCATCCTGAAGCTGAAGCTATAGGAACCTTCCTAAACAGCGGTAGCTGTATGGCAGATACTCAGGGAAACAAGGGAAATTTCAGTAAGCACAGAGCTGCCAGGGCAAGCTCCTTTGCCCATTGGAAGTGACAGCCCTAAGGACTGCTGTCTCCTGACAGAAATAGCCAGGGCTGCAGAACAGCAAGGGACTAGGAAGAGCTTTGGAGCTGAAGGAAACAAATTGATAGGAAACCAGGTTTCAGCCATTCTTCTGCCTCTAGAATAGCATGTGCTTCAGAAGTAAAGCAGAACATGGGCCAAGAAGCCCCAGGCATTAATGACAAGCTCTTTTGCTGAACAAAGGAATGTTCCTGGTTGAAAAATGAAGTCAACCAGTGTGGCCTAATAGAGAGAAATCCAGAAGACAAGTGAAAATCCTGAATTTATTATCCAGATAATGGGCAGTCCAATCAATGGCTTGACAGAATTATGGGAGAAAAAGCAACAGTCATTAGTTAAGACCTTCAGATGTGCTTCATGCTCAACAACGTATCTGTATTGCTTTTTTTACTTCAGCCCCTAACAGGATACAGCCCCACCTGTTTAAACTTGTGATCTGGAGGCCATGAGATCACATGAAAATTCCTGATTTTTCATTTTAATACCTTAACATAAATGTAACATAACTGGATACATTTTCTCTCTCACATTCAGTAGGGAGCTGGAACTGCTCTCCAGGTGTCATTTGCCCCACACATTTTACAAAGAGATCGTTCACTCTGGTATCCTCTGCTGTTGGAGGCCTGTCAAGATCAACCCAGCAGAGAAGTCTGGTCAATCCCAGAGAGGAATTTCAGCATTGCTGAGGAGTGGAAGGAACGTGTCTGACACAGAGGAAGGGAAAAAACCTCGTCACTCTCAGACAAGGTCAGAGCATGCAGCTATGAGCTCTTTCTGATTTTACATGATAATAAATATTGTATGCGGCAAAAAACACAGAGGCTGTCAACCACTGTGGAGGCCTTGCTCTGGACAGAAGGGTGGGGAATAATAATGACTCATCCTGACTCTGGTAAACTAGCATAAATCAAGTACTTTAGGTGGATTTGCAGTTTTGTGTGTCTGTGTGTGTGTGCATAGATAAAACCTGATTGTTTCTTATTCAGTTATACAGCTATCTATCACAGATAATTATGTAGTAAAAAAATCTAGTTTCAAAGTATAAATACCAGCTGGAATAACCTAAACCTAATAGTACTGAAGTAGTGAAATATATGCTGTAGACAGTCACTAAATCCCAATATGCTGAACATGAGAATCTACATTACCTGTAAAGGAAGCTGTGTCTAGCAAGGCGTTGGGTGCTGAAGTCAGGTGGCACTAGTAATTACATGCAGAGTGATTGTGTTGTCTCCTTGCTAACCATCATTCCTGAATAAAGGACCATTCCTGGAATGAATCAAAGGAGAGGAGATCCTCCTGGACTCCCAAAAGAAATTGTTGGGGAGATTTGGAAGATGTAAAGAACAAAATGGAGGACAGAGTGTTAATTAAGAAGAGTAAGAAAAAAAACCCAGAGACTTCTGCTGTAGGGTTTCTTAAGGATTAGAAGAATTAGTATTTTATTTAAGTATTCTAAGTAATAGAGCACTATAGAAGAAGCACATGGATAAGATCACATGACTAATACAAGTTCTGAGATAAAAAAATGGGAATCGGTCAACAGGATGAGGCAGGACTGCAGGAGGCGTGCTGCCACTAGTGGCAGACACGGTAAGATCACACAAGACTGTTGAAGAAGATAACCTGCATAGCTACCTCTCAGTCAGACTTTAAAATGGAAGAAAGGGCTTGAAGAAAAGGTAGGAAAGCATCACCTTGCTTCCACAGATGCACGAAAGGTTGCAGTTGGAGGTAAAGTAAGGGATGTGGCTCTCGGTAATAATCATGCTTTAGAGCAAAATAGCTGGGAAAGCTTTCTATGATCATCATCGCAGTGAGGATTAAAAGTAATGTTAGTAAATGGTAGTTCCCCACGGATGATGTCCAAACAAAAACCTAAGGAAATTCAGCAAGGGAAAGTACAATAATGATGTTAATGCAAAAGTCATTAAGAATCAATCAGTTGCTTTCCCAAATAAGTTTGGACAAGATGTAAAGAATATGAAAGCAAAGACACATTTTCTTAAACCTCTTCAAAAGTTTGTGGGGTTTAATTGTGTTGGGAAGACTGAAATTTCTGAGCTGAAATACTTAAAGTGTAAAGACTTCTGCTCTGAATGTAATAATAAGCCCCAGGAGGAAAAAAAAAAATCTACAATTAAGGCAAATGAGTTTACTGCTATCCATAAAGATTGTATCAACATTTTCATGGAAAAGTTCCTTTTAAGCCATTCTGTTGTTTCTTTCAGGTTTAATAACAATGGAAGTTAAAACAATTTGTTCTGATTTTTTTTTAAATATTAATGTTTCAGTTGCTTCAGGAGTTTTAGTCAGAGATAAGTAGAGTAATGAAACAAGTCACATAAAGGCCATAATTAGGTGTACAGAATGATCCACTGTGCTCTCCATTGTCTAAATCAAAACAGAAGAATAGTGGAATAATTAATAAATTTTAAAAGTTTATTTTTAAAAAGTAAATTTTAATTTTTTCACCCCCAAAACAATCAAGATATTAACCAAACCTTTAAAAAAGCACTAAGAGAAGAAAACTAAGCACAACAATATGTAGTTGTCCATAAGAATTTACAGTGTAGTGAACGTAATAGCTGAAATGAAGGATGTATCTGTTGGTTTCTGAAATATCTATTTGAATTGCAGCCAGTAATTAAGTCATCTAAAATACATGAGCTGATTGAAGGAATTGGTCTACATACAAGGAACACTTTCAGTGGTAAGTTAATATGAACTAATTTACATGTGTATAATTATTAAAAGTTATTCTTATTTTGTAGCAATGACGTGCACAGAAAAAAATAGAGGTATTAAATTTTGCAAAAGCTTTCAAAATTTACTTCATCCAATGTTTTGGGTTTTTTTAGATCTGTATTTTCACTCAAAATGAAGCAAAATTCTAAAATGGAAATAGGGTGGGAAGAAGTATCAGCTACTAAAGACTGCACTTTCATTAAGTTCCAAGAGCTTCCTAAATTCATACTTTCAGGGTAAAAAGAATGTATCAAATAATGTATTTCAGAATAATGATCCTCGTTTTAGAAACAGCCAATGACTGTGTATTCTAAAAATAAGAAAAAAATTATCAGAGGAATATGATGTACAAATACATTGCAGATAGGTAGGAAATTTGTTTAAGGAGAAGAAAAGTCAGCCAAGTAATAAAACATACTCACTGGAGAGAGCTTTGAACCTATGGGTCATTGTTCACCATCACTTTAACTGTGCATAAAATAGCACTGCCCTCCATAGAAACAGTCCCACAAACTCTCACCTTGGCTGCTCTTTTTCTCCTTTGTCAGCACAAATCTTTTTTAAATATTATTATTCATCCCACTATCCTACCAGTGCCAAGGGATTCTTTTATTTATGTGTTTGTGTTGAAAGTCTCTCTATTTGAGACAGCTGTGTAGGACAAGCAAAACATGAAATGGGCTGCACCCCACTTCCCCAGCTTCAGGTCTGCACCAAAGGGTGGGTGTTGAGGTCCTCAGTGCTTCAGCTTTACAGGGTAGGTTTTGGGTCCAGAGTGAAGCTGGGTGCACAGCGCAGAGGCAGAGAGCATCAGGAATTTAGATGAGAGGAAGAACAAGTGGGTACAGAGGCCTAAAAATAAAACAGATTAAAACCGCAGACTTGATGTGTGAGATAGAAACTGTCAGCTATTTCAGGGATCTTCTATCAGACTGATGAATGATGTGCAATTCTCCTACTGACATGCCAATAAAAACAGGTGGCATTCAGTGGATTACTTGGGCAAGACCTCACTTGTACCAGCTCACAGATCTCTGTAGTACATGTATGTGCATATGTATGTCTACACAAACATACAGATACACACACACAAAATACATTGCTCAAAAGGTCATATACAAGCCAGGATAGCTTAAAGGAAGAAACAATATGTAAAAGGTATCAATCAGTATATTTGTTTGCTGTAGGTGTGTCTTGTTGATATATAAATGTTCTCTTTAACTAAACAGCCAGCATGAACTGCAGGCAGTGGAAAAGATATTGTACAGAAAGGAAGCCAGGGCCAGGAAGCTTAGCTTTCAGAAACTATTGGAACAAAGGGGCAGTGGAATATGGCAGTGGAATATGTGCATGGAATATGGCATGACATGACATGTTACTGAAGGTCTGTTATATTGGAAACCTGACTGAATTTTCACACATACTTGTGCAGACACAGTGTATTAAAATAATGAATTGCAAATAATTTTTGAAAATTTGGTCAAAAT